TGAGGGATAAGGGCCACGTGTCCTGGCCCATGTCCCCTCCTACTGCCTCTCCCTGGATGTCAGAGATCAGCAGAGTGCTGAGTCTGTACCTGCCTTCCCCAGGAGAGCTCCATGGGGGTCAGGGAGAGCTGAGGCTTCCCTCAGGCCTTCCCTGTGGGATCATGGAATGCCCCTAGCCACTGTCCTATGCACCATCCTCTTCCTCAAGTGTGCCCTGGCCTCTGAGGCACCCACTTGCTCTGCCCCACACTCCTCCCTGTTTTCTCCCTTATCTCAGTGGCTTGCAGCTCCTGCCTCCCTTGGTCTCAGCCCAGCTCCTTAGCCTGTGGCTCTGTCCCACAGTCTTCCCTGCACCATGGCACAGTCCTGCTTCTCACTACTTCTGAGATCAAAGTCTCAGCTTGTGGCCGTGAATTCTGGTCACACTGGCTTATTCAGGTCCTTCAGGGCAAACACGTAAAATCCTCATGGCTCTGACAAGAGCACAGCCATTTGGGAGACAGGTAGCAAAAGAAAGCAGGCCAGAAACCAAGTTACATAATCACAGCAACCCCCTTCCCATACTCCTGTAAGTCCTCATGACCCTGACAAAAGTATAGCCATCCTGGGAGGACAGCTAGTGATAGAAAGCAGGTCAGAGACCAAATGGCAGGGTCACAGCAACCTCCTCCTGACTCTCCTGGAGTGCATCACGGCCGGTGTTCCTAGAAAATATCAGAATCTCCTACCCTGGTCCTGGTTGGCACTAGAAATAAGGCCCTGGTGCAAGATTAACACCTTTTGCAGAAGGCAGTAATTCTAAATCAGTCTTGGACACAGCATCATTCACTCTGCAGGAAAAAGATGACTTCCCTCACCTCTCACACCCCCTCCCACGTTCCAACTAACAAAAGTCCCCCTATGTGAGGGAGAGCTGACTCCTGGTCAGACTCCACTCTGCTTCTTTAAAATAAAGCCTATTCTTAATCCCCGTACTGGCCTCCTCTCCTTGCGGACTCTGATCCAGACTCTATTCCTAAACCTCTCACTTTACACACCTGCCTTCTCTTCACCAGCAAGATAGGTGGCATCATTGTACAGAGAAATGGGTATGGGATTTGGAATCTGAACTATGGAATTTGCGCTCCAGCTCTGCCTCTTAAGGACTGTGTTAAGGGAACCTCAGCTTCCCTTGGTTACTCCTATCCTCAATGGGGGAAATTTAGGGAAGCTGCCATTGAACTGCCATCCTTTCTGAAATTTTGATGAATATATCTTTGGAGCCCACATCATGTCCTCCCAGGGAAGGAACAAATACTAGAGGGTGAAATCTGGGAGTGTGAGGGACGTTCAGGGATGGAGGAGACCAGC